TGACATTACAACCACTGCTTTTTCCTCGAGAGGAGTGTCCTTGTGACCCACGTCCATACAACACACACTCACCTTCTCAGCCTCCTGAGTACACTTCTCTACACGCTCCTGCAACTTGTGCAGCTGTTCCTGTGAGACAGATGAGTCTGCCTTGGCATGGTTCTCCCTTGTATGGGCTGTTTTCTCCTCCTTCCGGGCTGCATGATAGTTTTTCTTAGAAGTCTCCACCTGTAGGAGGAAGATGCAGAGAAAGCCGTGATCCTGATCATATTGATCCTCCATGACTCAGAGAGAGCATGTTAACATTTGTTACAGTCAGCAGCAATTGTTTTGGGACAACCTAACAAGAATGCCAATTTGGCATTTAGTAAAACCATGCTCCAAAGGGAAGAGGTACCTCTTTCTGTGCTCACCTGCCACACAGAAATACAGAGCCTGTTAAAAAAGTCTTCCCACATGGGAAGGAAGCTACAAAACCACCAAGAACAAGAGACCATCAAGACACCCCTCCCTCTCTGGCACTCTCTGCTACCCTGGCTAAACCCGGTTTGTTTGCCCAGTGGCTCTCACAATCAGGCAGCCATCTCGACCGCCCTTATCCCTCCTTCCCCATTGACACTTTGCTCACATCTTTCATCTTCTTCACCCAGGGTTTCTGGGCCTTGCGGAACCCATCCTCTGCCTCCTTTGTCTCCTTGAAGCCTCCAATCATCTGCTTGTGGTAGGCTTCCTTCTGCCAGGCCTTGATCTTATCCGAGTCTTCGCCAGCCAGGTGGTTCCGGACAGCTAAGTGAATTTCACTCAGTTTGTCTGCAGCTGTCAGGAAGGCATGCCAGGCCTTCTCCAGAGTACCATACTGTGGACCTGCAGGAACAAGCATCAGAAGGGCACTTACACCTCCTGCTCACAGAAAGGAACGCAGATTCTTTTCCTCCTACACACATCCATCAGTACGGAGTCACTTCCTTAACTCTCGCCCATCAAACAAGTCAGCATTGACTGGTCTCCACACCGTCCCAACAGGCAGCATCTAGACTGGTCAAGATGGGCATTTCTTTTGGGCAGCCTCAGCTGTCCCAGATGGTGCCTGCTAGGAGGAGATTTCCATAGAAAATTGTCTTCACAGATCTGGCCTGAGCTTTGGGACAGATAGCACACTAGTTCACAACTGAGGCCAAGCTTCTGCTTCGCAGAGCAGTAGGTCCTTTGGGGCATCTGTCCCACTGTTTCCCATTACTTTGTGAGATGCTGTCAGTTTGAGCCCACTGCCACTAAATCACAGCATTAGTAGTTATTCTCTGACTGGAGGAGAAGGAGGAGAGACAGCCAAGCCATCCCCAAAAGGGGATATCTGCAACTTGATTTAAGACTTGGACTGCCCAAGGACTTGCCAAACTAAAGAAATAGATTTTTTTTTTTTTGTAACCAAACACCTGACAACGCAGAGAACACCTCTCCAAGTGAATCAGAGGACTGGCTACAAAACCAGACAGACACACATGCAAAAGAAAGACACACAAGAAAGTCACCCCATTCCCCAAGAAGGGAAGCCTGTCCCCCAAGGACACAGCGTCACCTCAGTAAGAGATAGCACTCAAGGAAGCAAGTGCAATAATTGCATCCTGTTCCCAGTCCAACCTGCCAACTGTACCTTTCTCCACATTGGTCCTCCACTTACGGGACCACTCTGTTAGCTGCTGGGCATAGTTCTTCTCTATCTTGGCTCGCTCCTGGAAGCAGGAGATTAAGTCATTGCAGAGCCGGTACCCATCATCCACACGCTTCACTGTCCTCCTGTAGTTTCCAGCCTGAAATTTCACACAACATCATCATTTATACAGTATTGATTTCCATGTTCCTTCAGAACAGACAGCAGCAGGTCAATCATTGCATGGGGAGGGAGCACAGGCCCTTCTGAAGCCAGCAGCTGGGCTCAGACCCTCCTCTGGTCCTCTCTCAGGCAGACACAGCAGTGGAGGGAAGAAGCTGAGATGCTTTGCTCGCCTCTCTCACAGCTCAGATCAGTGTCAGCTGAACAAGGAACTCTCATTCCACAGCACCTGTGGAGGAAAGGGTCACCTCCTCCCTGCCGTAACACACAGCATGTTACTGAACCTCCCCAACCTCCTCCCATCCACTCCCCAAGAGCAACATGTCACCCAGAAACGTGAAACTCAACCCTCTAATTCCACTGGTGCGAGGTAAGAAGACATTCCTACCTCCCTCGCACTCTGATTATCCTTCCTTACCTCCCAGAAACTGCCCCCAGGAGCTTCCCCGCCAGCATCATCTTCTGATGACATCACCCCCGTTTTCTTGCAGCAGAGAATTTTTGCAGATTTCAGTTAAGCTGAGAAAAGAGAAAAGTGATTTCTAACATAGCACTGGCCGAGTCTTTGCAGAGAGCACAGTTCTCCATGACTCTTGGAGCTGGAGGAGCCCAACTTACTGCCCTGCAGGCAAGTACTGGCATCCCTGCACCTCCAGCAGCACGCAGCTAGATCCAGCAGAGATGCCCAGGGCTGAACCTGCCTCCTCCCTCCCTGCAGACACATGGCCTCCTTGGCAGGCCTGCAGCACACTGGGAAACGGGGATGTTGTAGAAGACAATCTTGCCAAACCTCAGCTGTACAGATATCGGAGAGGCTGGTGAATCCAACACCCTTCAGCAGCACCAGACATCTCTGCAGAGATTCCTTTCTTAACCTCGATCCTCAGGAGGGTAGCAAAAGCTACAGAGATTGAGGTAGCTAAAGCTATTTGAAATGTGCCTTGAAAGACTTTAAATACTTCTTCTGTCAACAGAGATGACTCCAGCTTCCCAGTATGATTCAGGATTACAGGATTACAACAACTGACTGGAGAAAACAAGGCTGAGCAGTCAGCAGGCAGGCATGTCTTGAATGGGGAGGAGCCCTATAAGCTGCCCACCAGCTGAGCTGGACTTGAGCAGAACTACAGAAACATGCTGGGGCATACTCAACCAAATGGCACTGCGGCACACACGCTGGTTACCTGGCAGCACTGCTTCCCTAGAAACACCAACGTAGAGCTGGTGTTTTCGTTACACTCAACTCACTCACTGCATTAGGCTCAAAATCTAGGCTAGAAGGTGAAAGGTTCATCTCATCCTCTGTTGTCTCAGAACTTTTGCCCGTTCCCCTGGGTGAGTCTGTGCTGACGGTTTGTTCCAATGTTATAAATTCCTTGGGGAGAGGTTCAGGGTTGCTCTTGTGCAGGAATGAGAGGGGGAGTAATGGAGAAAGGCCCAAGCCCAGTCACTTGCACACAAACCCACTCCATTCTAGGCAAGCCTGGGTTAATGCAGCATAGATGTCCTTTGCTGCCACTTCTCTTGCACATTCCTAGTTATAAAAAGCTTCCCTCACACCCCAGAGAGGTATCTGCTCATTCTGCCAGCCCACAGAGCACACAGCAGAGACGATCAGGTCAAGAGTCTGCATCTCCCACCTCCTGCAAATCCTTCTCAGTGGCATGAGCCACACCGTGAAGCACCCCAAGACAGACTGCAGGAATTTCCTACATTTCTTCTGGAAAATGCTTGGCTCTGCTTGCCCAGTCTCATCCCATGGAGAGTGTCAGAAGTACATTAATGCTGTTTGTCTGGGTTTCTCCAGAAGGCTGAAAGTGCTGAATTCCAGCCACTGAAGCAAGTTGTTAAACGGGACGTGACACTCAAGTGCACGAACCTCGAAACCTGAAGAAGACCTCCACCCATGCCAGCAGCTGTCCCTGTCCTCCCTCCCCACGGTTTGTCAGCTGGTTGTAAAGCTATCTTAGGTGCCTCCAGGGCACGCAACTCTACTCTTGTCCCCAGTAACTACATACCTGAAAGCTGAAAGTGAGATGCCGCAGGGGAGCAGTGGGCAGTTGGCAAGTATGTCCCGAGCTCTTCGAACTCCCTCAAAAAGACTGGAGGAGACAGAGACGGGCAGAGTTAGACAGGGCTGCTCCTTTGCAGGGATGCTGCCTGTTCTGATGCATCGCAATCCTAGGGGTATCCCCCTTCTGCCAGCTACGAGGAGGGGCACCCTCTGATATAGCAGCTGCAGCCACTGGGCCTCCTGAGATGCCACGTTCCAGCACGTAGGAGAGATGCCAAATCCTCGTGTCACAAGATCCAGCCCCAGAGAGAGAGTTAAAATAGAAACATTGGGGCGGCATGACAGGGCCGTGCGGGAAAAGGTAGCATCACAACAGCTGAGCAAAGGGAACAACTCAGGCCAGGAAGGCCAAAAATAAGCACGCTCCCCAGGCATTGTACGTGGGGCCTGGTCCCCCCTCGCTGTACAGCGCCCAGTTTGGCAAACCCCACCACCTCCATGCAGTACTGCACGTGCTTTTACACATAGCTGGCTTTGGGAGAAAAAGGGAAGGACAGACACATACACTTTCTCCAGTCCCTTTTTAGTAAAGACGAAGAGGATTTATATACAAGGCAAAGGACTTGATAACTCTACATTTAAAAAAAAAAACCTCACAAGAATGCATATTCTGGTCTAGAGGCCTAGAGTCCTTTTAGGAGCAGAGCACCTAACACTGCCCTGGTAAGATGTGGCTCTCTACCAGCAAGGCTTTTTTTGTCCCTTGGTTCTGTAAGCTGTCCCCATCACATTCTCAGAAATATTTTATTTTGCCACTATGGTATAGGTGACTGTCATCAACTTTCCAAAGAGGAAAGGGAAATAAAAGGCCTGCAGAACCTAAGGGAAGCAAGGGCAGAAAGAGGCATTTTTGTTTACCTCACATTCACTTCCCTGAGGATTTACTTCAATGTCAAAAGTCTATTTATTTAAAAAACAGACAAGCAAAAAACCCACCTTCTTCTCAGTCACCAGTATCCACTCAGCTGAGGCTGGAAGATTAGGGCAACTGAGAGTTAATACAGCTGAGAGCAGAAACTGCAAAACCTGGAAGGGGGATTTTTAGCCAGACAATAAGAATTTTGGAGCAGGCGTGAAAGAAAGTAGGAAAAGAGGAGGAAGGAAAGAAAAGCAGACCCAGTTATTGGAAACAGACTAGTGACCTTTGGTGAGGAAGGGGTGGGGAGGAAGAGTTGGGACACCTTTGTGTGATCTGGGTCACTGGATAAAAGGTTCTAGCTCATCATAAACCTTCTAAGACTTCCCAGTGGTCCCTAGTAAAACCAGACTACACAGTCTTGAAATTGGTAAGATTAAAAAAAAATTCATGAACAGTTATGTAGAACAGTAAAACCAGACTACACAGTCCTGAAATTGCTAAGATTAAAAAAAAAATTCATGAACAGTTATGTAGAAGCATACTTAAAAGTCCCCCAGACCCCTTCTTTCTTTCTCCTGCTAAAGACATAGATCAATTAGATAATGACACATGAAGGCTGTTATCACTTTTTCCACGCCACACTCCCATCCCCACTTTATCAGGAAGCAATGAATCACAAACATGCCTTCCATCTCTGGTTTCCGATTCAGGCTGACTACACAGTGCTAGAATTTGGGAGTAAATATGGAAAGCTGCTGTGTGTCAGAGTGTGCTTGTTCATTTGAGGGACAGTCAAGCAAAAACCAACCAAGCAAAAAACCCAAATCCATTCTTTCTGCAGGTTCTGCATTAGAATTTGGGGCATACCTACTTATTTTCTCAAGAGTTATACGCCCAACTAACTAGATTTGCTATCACTTAGATCAACAGGCTCTGAAACATAATGGTAGCTGTGCTGGATCAGACTAAAGGTTCTCATAGCCTCTGTAGACTGTAGCAGCCAAAAGCAGATACCTTCCCTTGCTCTGAGAACAGAGCAAGCATAGATGATGCCTCCCTGCATGCTCTCCAAGCCTCTAGCCATTTGTTGACAGGAACTTCCCAAGCTGGATGTGGCACCTATGAATTTACTAACACTCAATGGGTTTCTCTTCCAGTAATTTCTCCAATCTGCTTTTGAACCCATTGTGAGTTTTCAGCATCCACAATATCATGTGGCAAAGTATCCCACAGCTTAAGGCTATACTGTTGTCATCCGTACAGTAGCTAGGTGGGAGAATACAATAAAATAGGTTAGTATTTCTACAGGCTAATCTCTATGACCTGAGTAGCAGCCAGTCAAGTACATATTTCCGTAGCAGTCATATAGATTTTATACGAGTCCAGAAAAATCTAGCCTGGTAGAAGGAAAAAGGTCAAAGAAGGAGGACCCTTTTCTGCCAGGCTTTTTCTGGACTTTACATACTCCATGAGCCCATGTCAGTCAGCAGATCAAATTGGATCTGCGTGCAGACATAGGGAAAGTACTTAGTACTGCACACAGGGGCTGAAGAACAGCTGCTGCTGTCACCCGGAGCCCTAGAAGAGCAAAGACATTGCCACTCCACCCCTTCATGCCTAGTTATTCCCAAAACATCTCATGTGTTGTGAGCCACCAAGAGCTTGAGACTAGGGAAAACCCGAGTTTGCCAGGAAAAGCAAATATACGAGTTCTACATGCCAAAGCGTGGAGGCTGTTTTACAGCAAAGTCAAGATGACAGGGCTACCCTGTGGACAGCCTGATATAGCAAGAGCCACCATGTGATTCAGGAGGGCTGGCTGAGCCTGTAGAATATAAGCAATATAGCTGGAGTTATATTGGGTCAGCTGGAGTTATAAGTGGCTCAGCACCACACACAAGACTCCTTCTGATGCCACTGCCACCTCTGCTAAGAGGAGGCTATCTAGCAAATCATATTTGCAGGCAAAGGAATGTTTATCCCTACCTTCCCACCTTTCTCTTTCAGGCCTCACAGTTAAGAGCTACTTGAGACCTCACTGCAGTTCCCGCAAGACAAGCTCGCTGAAGGAGGGAGAGACCGACTACATCTCTAGTCACTTCACACCTCCACAGGATTATGGATGAGGGCATCGCCGGCACCGCCACAACCAGCAACATCAGGTAGACAAACTGAACCGTGCAAATGAGATTTCTGCAGAGCTACAACCCTTTCTGTTAGTAGTGTTAGAAAAGGTACTCGCCTCTTCCCCCCAAATACCTGCTCTCACTTACAACCAACAGAGTTACGAGGCCACACCTGCTATCAACTCCCTATTAAGTTATCAAAAAATGGCTCCTGGTCTTCAGCTGCAGAAAGGCAGAATGCCTTGTGACTGCCTCACTGGTACTGAGCTCCACTCAGGGAAATGCCAGAGGCCTCGTCCTGGCAGAGCTGTTTCCACCTTTAACCATGTTGTTAATCTCACCCCTGCTCCAGTCAGTCATACGTCTCAGACCACAGATCCCTGCCCTCAGACCAAGGTGTCAGGCTAAAACCTTCCCTTTCAAAACACATGTGAATCTGGCAACACACTACAAG